TACTGGAAGTTAAAAATAACATAGCCGAACTTTCGAGATCATTCTTTCTATATCCGAATCTCTTCATACGAAACGTGATCGGTGTAATAATTACAAACTAAAAGTTTACAAAGTGATGTTACCGGTGAAAGTGTTGTTATGAAAGTGAAATGTGCACACTAGTAGTCAATCGCATTTCCTTTTAACAGATAGAAATATTCAAAAATAATTACAATACATTCAAAATTTCTAGTCATAAATTTTTTTTCAAATATTTTGCACGTGATATAAATAGAACAGCAACATAAAAGATAATCCTAAGAAAAAAGAACTGATTAGTGTTTCAATAAATTGATTAACTCTATAAATAATTGATGACATTGCATCAGTGACTGATAAAATATTACTGTATAGTTAAACAGTTTATTGGAACACTAATCAGTTCTTTTTCTTAAGGGAATGCTACTTTTCCGCGAGTGTATCGAATTGCGTAATTGATGTCAGTTCTTTACCGTCTAAAAGTTATCGCATCTACAACATTCTACATAAATATGATCATTTTTAGTTAATTACAGAAACGTTTAGCTCAAAGAAAATTGTGTCAGTCATAAACATTTCATGTGAAATTAATCCTTAGAGTATCAGTAATTCTGTCGGGAAATTATATTTTGAAAATTTTACTTTAAACGATAGGAGATAATGTTTGATACGAGAAAATGATTATAGAAAATGTTCCTATAAAAAATTTATATTATTAACTCAAAAGAAGTTTCAACATCTTATACTTCCTCACTATTTCTCTTCCATTTGCTATATTACTACAATTACTACGAACGCACGATCTGGTGTCGCGTAGGTGGATAGGTCAGCAATTCTCAGAAGCTTCAGTAGGCGTAATTGTTCGTCGAATGAACGAAGATAAACGAACACTTGTTAACATACGTTTCTAATTAATTGACATAATGTATCTTAGAATCTTCTAATTTATGTACACTACCGTTCATAAATTCAGGAACAATGCTTGCAATTTTTTTATATTTCACAAAAATTTCTCTACAAAAAGTATTTCTTTGAATAGAAATCGGAGAAAAGTTTTTAAAAATTCATTTTAAGAAAGAAAAATAGTACTTCAAACTAGCATTTGAATTTTGTCTCTATGATCTTTTGCTCCTAAATTATATAAAATTAAAGATTGATATTTTTTTCAATATTTTTTAGTTATTTTTTTGAAACGCTATTTGGATGAAACATCATCGGACAAAATTTAATAGACAAGCATTTTAAAATAGACTTTCTAAGCTTTAAAATGCTCTTTGAAAAAAATTGCTACCATGATTTTTCTACTAAATTTCGATGATGTTTCATCCAGGTAGAGTGCTTCGAAAAATAACAAAATATTGGAAAAAAAATATCAATCTTCAATTTTATATAATTTAGGAGCAAAATATCATAGAAACAAAATTCGAACTTCAATTTAAGCTCTATTCTTCTTTTTTAAAGTGCATTTTTAAAAACTTTTCTATTCACTATACTTAAGTTTTTGTGGAATGCGAAAAAATTTCAAGCATTTTAAATTTATGAACGGTAGTGTACAATAGAGTTTAAATGAAAACGATGATAAAATACATTTGTAATATAATTTATAAGAAGATTCAAATTTAATTTCCAATCCATATCGCTTTATGTTTCTTCTCTATATTTACATATTTACTAAATCTGCGTTTGACAGTTTTATTTCAGAGATAATTAAATATCTCAAATTGTAAAAATTATAGAATTAAATGATAGAATTTCTTAGAATTCAGAAAGTAAACTGGAAATGTGTACAATAAATGAAACAATTTTTAGATGTTAAATTCGAAAACTTAATTTAGCACTTTTACAACCATGTTTATTATTAAATAATTATAAAAAAAAAAATTATAAATCTAAGAGCCTTTATCCATTTTTGTAGAAATTAATATTCGAATAAATATACAGTTGAAGCCGAGCATCTTTTTTACTTTTTAAGATATCTACATATTTTTTCAAAAAATAAGCTTTCGACAAACATGCTCTCGTGGTCAACAAAGATAGGAAAAAACAACGAAAACAATTTTTATATCTCATAAAACAATACAAAATCTATTCTTTGAAAACAATAAATATCCTGCCGAAATATTTAAAATATTCAAGGCAAATGGCGCAGCATTAATGCAATTAGTTGTCTCTTAAAACGACGAAGATGAACGAATAGTTCGCATAATGGAACTCTAATTGATTAACGCATTGCATTAAAGTACTTCTTGAAATTTATCTCATAAATCGCTCTAGTTTACAAAAATTAAAGTCGCAAGGATCGATAAATATCAAATCAGCGGGTAAAAATAATAAAATAAAAAAATTGACATTTTAAATAAATCAAAAAGATTTCTATTAAACCAAAAAAAGTTTTTCGTACAAATGCGTCTCGCTTAACATCCAAAGATCTTTTTTGGAGTAGCAATCGATCGTCTAGACGAGATGAAAGCACACATTAATCACTTCGAGAAAAGAACACTTCCTATGCTTTCTTGTGGCGTGGGATGACTACGATTTTCACCACCATTTTCCATTCCGACCGACGACGTCTGCAACGGCGCCGGATGCACCAACTCGGCCAACTGCGTTGCCAGCCGGCGGTGGGATGCTAATTAATCAACACGATACGTCATGACAGAACGACCTCCGGACACGCGTGGACGAGGTGGGTAACTTCCTAATTTACATTTTACACGGGGCTAACATGCACAATTTGGTAGTGCAGGTTGAGACAGCTTTTGACGCGCTGCGACTGCAGCGGGGAATGTTTCTATTCGATCTCGGTCAACATACTTGTTCATAATGGAATTTTCATGTTGTTTTCGAACTTAAAAATATTCACGGCGTTGCAACGAGATTGAGAGCGGAACGAGAATTTTCAACGATTATTATTTTCAACTGACACGTTATAATTAATTAACGTTTCGTAAAGCGAAACGAGAGGTAGCCGACAATTTACATTCCGTTCAAATTTATTACAACTGTTTCCAACGACACGAGCGATCATAATAAATTTAAAACCCGAAAGAGATTCAAAAATTATTTTTAAATGATCAGTTGTTGAACTGAACGTTAAATTTTCACAATAATATTTTTGAAAAAGAAAATCGTCAGTTCAAAATATGTATCTCATTATTAATACATTTGAAGAAAGAATCTCGTTATTTCTAAGAGAGAAATTCGGTTACATTATTTTTGCAACATTTTTCTACCTTTTAGACAATGCAACCTTTTTAGAAGATTATTCAGAAGATTATTAGACCAGAAGATATAAAAAGAATACGAATCTTCAATTATAATTGAAGATTCGTATTCATTTTGAATGTCATAATACCTTCTGTATAATAATGTATCGCAATAGTCTACGTTTGTTTGCTTAATTTTTAGAGGCTATACATTTCATTTCCGAGATTCAATCAGAGATAACGATGCTTGTTATTCTTCCATTTTTAAGAAGGTAGAGGCGAAGACATCGCGAAGGAACGTCAAGACAATGTATTCATGCGCGCGCGGTTCGATACAATAAAAACATTATTGTAACGCGCAAATATTTGGGCAAAGGCGATTTGCTGAGAACAGCACGCGCTCACGTTTTGACTTCCAGCTGGTAGCATCAACGTGCCGCTAACGAGGCGCGAGACATCGCGTCGCTCTGGAAGCGTCGCGGGTTGACGTCAATATTGAAACGCCGCGTCCAACCCCTCTCCCCATACACTCCTGTTTCCTCTCCTGTTTCTCCTCCCGGGATTGCGGGTGCTCTACATCTGCCTACTCCATTCAAAGCTCAAAACTCGACCAGGCGCTCGCGCCGATCCCGGAAGTGAGAGAGCGACGTCGAAGAGATGAAGGATCGCGATGAGCATCACGCCGGAAAGCGAAACTCGCCCTCCCTCGTAATCCGGACGGTAACCTTGATATTTAACCGTCCGGTGCGATATTCGGAAACCGAATTCGAATCTAAGCCTCGGTGGACGAATAACGGGGATCATCGCGAAATAGAAGTTTTCTCGTAGATATATATATGAACAGCAAAATTGAAGAGCTTTTCTTGGCTCAAGAATATCGTTCTCTAGTGATTTGGTAAATAATATTAAAGAATTTCGAGATCTGATTCGAACGAAAGGAATAGGATGCAGAATTGTGACAAGCATATTTGTATAAACAAAATTTGCTGATGACAATTTCTTTGCACAAACTTCAAAAAATTGATCTGTTTACGAGTAGAAGCCTTGCACGAACAGATGATTAATTGCAACCACTCACGCGAAATTAAAAACTTCAAATTTGAAGTATGTTTGATGAACAGGCCGATTTTCTATGATTTCGCATACACGGAATGATGATCATGAATATCATGATCATGAAGATTCAAGATTCATAAAATTCTGGAGAGCAGCAAGTTCTTGAACTAAATTGTTGGACTGCATTAGAAATCAAAATTCAATGCGAATTATACTGATACATTTTCGATCACAAATTCAACGAGTCATCACGCAAATTGCTACGAATCATAAAATAAAAAGTCGCGTGATAGAAACGAATCACTATGACATCATCAACCACAAAAAAATGACTGGCTACTGTTCAGAATGGTCAGCTATTCGGCAACGGTTTTAATTACTGTTGAAAACGAATTAATGTTAAAAAGAAATTAATCGATGCTATAATAAAATATATACAACGATACATTCTATGGCTTTATCGTGCGTTCACAGTATCGGAAAGGAAGAAAAATGGAAGCTCGGAGCAACGAGTGACGCGTGACGTCGACGGACACTTGTGGAAGGGACGAGTAGGAGTGGGACATAGTGAGAACTCGAAGAAACGTTCCAGAAAAGGATAACCGAGCCGGTTAGCGAGACGGTGGATGAGTTCACGTCGCAAGTCGCAATTAAGGTTCGTGTGGATGGACATTGTCGGACTAATGGCAGAGACACTCTCCTAAAAGTGGAGTCACTCACCCGATGCAGCCAGGGCTATCGCCGCGACAAGCGTCCACGATCGTCTCATGTTTGTTCGAAAAGGTGCCAGAACGAGGCACCTTCTTCCTTGATGACCTGGTCGAGCACCACCTCCTCCACGTTACCGATTTCCTCCACCTCCCTCCCCGCCACCACCGCCTCACCGCCGCTCGTCTGCTCGTCCTCGCACGTGGCTGCCAGGCGCGTCGAGCGAGGACGAACCTCGACCTGAACCACCCGAAAGATCAGCTGTCCTCGGCGGCGAACCGCTCGGCACGATGGGAACGGAGCAATCGCGAATCCTCAGGGCTCGCCCGGTCGCACCTGCACCGGGCTCGCCAGGTGCATCGTCCTAGCTCCGTTGGGGGCACGTGACCGCCTCCACGCAGCAATGTTCCGATATTGTCGTACGCTGCTATCCCGTACCGGATGGTACAACCTGCATGCACTATGGCCTGGACAGTCT